CTAGTTTCGGAGAATTCCGCTCCTCATACAGTGACCCTGGACACTACCAACAATGAAATAACAGACCAAAAAAAGCCTTTATAGTAGTGAGGTATCGAAATGATGTATTTAAGTGTTTTACACTCACAAAAAAAAAGAAACCTATCATTCTATAGGTATTTGAAGAACTTGTAGCATTTCCAAGCTTTTATTTGTTGTTACACAAATGTTTAAACAACTCTATTCAATTATGTACCAGCTGCCCAGTGTCGGCTAACAATACGTAGAATTAAACTGTGGCGAAATGCTACAAGTTCTTCAAATACCTATAGAATGATAGGTTTCTTTTTTTTTGTGAGTGTAAAACACTTAAATACATCATTTCGAATGTTTTAAATAATTACGAATGAATTAACTTTCTGATAGCCGTACTGAAAAACAATATGTACACCTCCAGGTGATCATTTTTACGTTTGTCAAGGGCGACAGTTAAAGATCGATATTATGAACTACTATCGTGATTCATAATAGTATTCGCCCAGGAATTTCACAAAAATTGTAATATCTACGGGCAAAAACCATATTAAAAAGGCGACTTGTTCTTGAAACAGCACTCAAGACCTTCTGTCTCAATGGCTAAGGCTGCTAAAATATTGATAATGGTAAAAAAAAAAGTTTTTTTTTCGGATTGTTAGACAAAATTCATCCATTCCTTCTTCATATTATTCTTGTTTCACAAGCCTATAGAAAAAACGGCTATGAATATTCTATTCAAACCTACTGAAAAAAAAACTCCCGCGCAGGCCATAGGAGATTTTATCAGTTTTTCGTATCTACTGGCCTAGTTTCTCTTCGAAGACATTCAAGTACCTGAGCCTACAGCAAAACCGGCTATTTATACTGTGCCAAAATCTATGCACACCTACTAAACAAAGTCCTGCGGATGTTGTAAGTCTACTTTAAGTTAATTCTTGAAAGTCGATATTTCTATCCTCTTAAAATTTTCAAAGTTCTTCGAAGCCGCATCGCAGAAATGTAGAAGCCATTTAAGCACCGTTATACTAGTCGGAAATGCACTGTTAATGGGCGCCCGTAGGAAAGGGAAAGAGGGGGCATATGCCCCCCTTACATTTCACAAAAAAATTGCAAGTATCGTGATGCAAACTTAACATCGTAGTTTAATTTTTTATTAAAACTGTGAATCTTTTTGAATTGAAGCACACATATTCTTTTAGTCTATTCACTAACACTGTAAAAGCTGATCCCCTTACATACGTGTCTTGCCCCCCCCCCCCAAATATTTCTGTGGGCGTCCATGGCTCAGTTTTATGCTAGTCAGAAACGCATAATTTTGTTAGAGTAAACCAGTGTCTCCAGTATTATTATTATTGATTAAAGTTTGATAAGCTGCTACAGAAAAAACGCCTACGAATATTTTACTGAAACCTGGATATAAATTATGAATTAAGTATAAGGTAGTTTTGAAATTAATTCAAGAGCCTTCGTTTTTCCGCCCTTAATAATTTCTCTCAGTCTTTAACTTTCCACCACTGAAAAAAATCCGGTTTTACTAGTGAGCTTTAAGTTGAAAATAATATGTTCAACTTATAACACATTAATTAGAAACTGATACGTTGACGATTCGTCATTTCTCGAGTTCGCTGTTGTATTTTGTCTCTGCGTGGTTTTCTGCGACTTTTTCAGTAAGTTTTCTAACAGTAGACAATTACCATAGTAGATTTTCGTACTTTGCTGAAATTACGAGTGCGTATTTTATTATTATTATTCATGTTTTTATTTCAGAAGTCCAAAGCAAAATCGGCTGGGTATTTTGCACTAAAACCTATACAGATATACTATATGGAAAGCTGCGAATGTCTATGATCTATTTAAAAGTTGATTATTTTTCACTGAAAGTTTATTTTCTTGGCTATAAGTACATAATATATGTAATGTTGTTGTGAGCGGCTTCCTTTGTACTAGACGCTTGTTAAACGCGTGTTTACACGAAACTTCAATCACAAAACCACATGGCTCAGTAAATAATAGTTGGGCAGAAAATAAGCCATTGCAGCAGTTAACTGTTAAAAAACATGTAACATTCAACTGAATGCACATGCGCATGTTTAGCTTAAAATTCATTCTCCATTAATAGACATAAGAAACAAGATAATCAAGAATTGTTAATTTAAAAAGGGGATTAGGGGTCGTCAAAAAAGTACAGAAACAAGTTGAATCAAAATGCAAAGATTATATTTTCAAGCCTACAACTGGGGACTAAAAAAGTAAACAAACTATGATGGAAATAGTGTCTATTTTATTTCATCAAGCTACAAATCGTTATTTTAACTCCACTAACATTGATAACGTGCTGAAGACATGAAGTCAGTACAGGGATTTGTAGCTTGAGAAAATAGTACAGACACTATTTCCAGCTTAGTTTGTTTACTTTTCTAGAGTCCACAGTTGTAGGCTTTGCATTTTGATTCAACTTGTTTCTTTGTTAGTTTTTTTACGATCACTATTCCCCTTTTTAAATCAACAATTTTTAATTATCTTGTACAGTTTGAAATTGAAAGGAAAATAAGGCTTAACCAATAGGAAGTAGAACAGCATTGGACGTTAAAATCATAGAAAAAGAAACCTGCCAAACGGTAAAGTAAATGTACTTTTACAAGTTTCAAACATTCAGTGTTTTAAGACTATAAACTATTTGTCTGGAAAGTTTAATATTACAATAAATATTTGTGTATCCTACCTGCTTCTCTTGTAAGCGTCACTTGGAAGTATGTTAACCAAAGAACTATTCACTCTTTGTTTTTCACGTTTACATTTTAATTATATTTATGATTTTTTTTATATTTTTCTCTAGGTCAATGGATTGTTATCACCAGCGCCCTCTTGCTTGTAAGTAGTTAAGTAATTATTATAGTATGTAAAGGTGATTTTTCTTACTGCCAGATAAATGTTATTTCCGGGAATCAAAATTTTTGGTATTAAAAAAAGTGAGGATTTCTGTACGACTAACGTATTAGCAACAGCACTGAAATACTCAAAGTTTTTATTCAGACTAGAAAAGTAAACTGAAAGTCATCCTCTCCAAAAATACATGCCGTCTTGTAAACAATAACTGCTATAATTTACACAATTCATTGTCGATTTACTTACTGTCTTCTTTGAATTTCAAAATAAGCCTCATTATTAAAGTTAGATTTACTAGAAAAGATATGATTCGGGTAGAAACTATTTCTTTCATATGCCTCTTATAACTGCTCAGTCTTAGAGATTAACATGCCTGTACTGTGTACATGAGGATTTATGGTTCCCTTCCAGTTAACAACAACAACAAAAAAAAACACACAGCCACTCATTGCTGTAATTTGAAAATGACTGTCAGATCTTTCTATTCGGTCAGCCTAGAGTTGCTGGTGGGTGCTATTGACTAGCTCTTTGTATTATATCAGTTCAGAATCAGGGACGGCTAAGGTGAAGATAGTCCTTATGTAGCTTTACATGAATATTCTAAAACTAACTACTCTTAGTCTGGAACTGTTCATGATACAAGTTTTCAAAATTTGTTGATTTATTTAGTCCACGTTTAGAGTTAATTATTTACACCCAATCATATTTCTGTACTTCAAGTTGTGTTATATGTATACATTAAGCCATTTTATTTCTCAATGTTTTAACACTATCTTTACAGTACAAATTTACTACTAAAATGTACCATTTTTGTGGTAATGCAATTACTTTTTAGCCAGTTTTACTGATCTTTCAAAAACCCAAATACATCCATAGACCTGTTGGATAGATGGATTGTGATAAAATAGGCAAGTAAGAATTGGGGTTATTCCCTCAGCTCTGTTCTGTATTCAGTGCAAATATTAGGCTTATCTTTAGTTGTATGGAAGTTTACTTGACAGCTTACTGCCTTAACGAGGGGTGAAAAATTGAAATGAACTCTACTTATGACTCGTATTTTAAGTCAGATTTACAATATATTTTTGTAAGAGCTAAATTAGCCTTACATCTTTAAAAAGCCAAGATTGTAACTCAGGGGTGTATGTCTCCCATATAATTAAAAAAAACCTTAACCAACTATAACTCATGTTCTTAAGATCATAACAGACACTAGCAAAAATACTCGGTTATTAGGTTGATAGTGTGTGTATTCGGAACCCATTTTACCATAAAAAGTATAACCTACATGCTTTTGTTGCTAAGCAATATGACATAAAAGCCATTGTTGGAATGCATTGTTACCAAAACACACTGGCTTTTCTATATATTAGAAATTGTTATATAAAGAACCAGTTATTTTCTGTGGTTTTTGGCTAGTTTGCCTCATTAAAAAGATGAGTATGCTCGTGGATAAGATAAGTAATACCCAAGTGCACAATCTTGGGGGCCACTTAGTATGGGTGCAAAATTTCAGGTTTCTAGGTTCTCCCAACAGGCATGCACATCTATCTGTCTGTGTTTTCTATTTGTAATACAAGAAATCACTTCTTTTCTTCTTGTTTTTTTTTCACCTTGCCTCATTGAAAGGTTTTGTGCATGCATGAGGATAAGTAATACCCAGGTGCACACCCTCAGGGGCCAAAATTTCGGGTTTCTAGATTCTTTGCTCTTGGAGCTATGGCAGTCACACTCCTTTTCTATATGGTTTTTCGCTAGCTTGCTTCATAAAAATATGCACACGCGCATGCATGCATTCACGTGCATAAGATAAGTAATACCCAGGTACACACCCTCAAGGTCTACTTAGTATAAGTGCAAAATTTCAGGTTTTTTTAGTTTATTTCGTCTTGGAGCTATAGTGGTCACATTTTTATGTATTTATCACTAACTTGCCTCATAAAAAGATGTGCATGTGTGTGCACACGTGGATTATTAATAACACCCAGGTGCACACCCTCTGGGGCCACTTAGCATGTGAGCAAAATTTCAGGTTTCTACATTCTTTCCTCTTGTAGTTATGGCAGTTACAGACACACCCTTTTGTTATTATAGATTATTCCAGTCCTAAAATAAACAAAACTAAAAATTGCCACACTTAACGCATATATAATTAGGGCTATCTGTTGGTTACTGTGAATTTGCTTTCACTAATTAATGGTTCCCGACATCTTTTCTTTAGTTGTTTTCCATTGTATTTGCGGACATGATGCGTAAGAGCATTGTCTTCGACCTCAAAACTCCCAAAGTGTTCTACTGTCCTCAGGAAAAGCCAACAGGGATGGAAAAGATGTTTGTTAAAGCCCGCTCACTATACAAGTTGTGTGAATTTAGGGGGAAAGGTATCCCAAAGTATTACAAGTCAGATTGTTACAACGACGTAGATGAGACTGAGTATGCTTGTAAAGAAAAACGTCGTATCATGGTAAGTCTATAAATACTATACTATTTTTTTTATTGGATAATTGTTTTAACATCTCTTGTCAAAACATTTAATGATGAAATAAGAGTCAAAAGTTTTCACAGCCACAGTTCACTTAATATTCTGTTAATTTTATCTATTATTTTTGTTTCAAAGTGTTTTTGGTATTGAATATGTTTTTGTAATCTTCAGCAATTGAAACCAGCAATTATATTCATTTATTAGGTTAACTTTTAGTGACCTGTGTAGGTAACGTTCTTTGATTAGAAATTTATGGTCATTCATTTACTTGTCATTAAACATATTATATTTTTAACACTACATTTTATATCTAGTCTCTTAAGGATTTTCAAGAATTAGAAGAATATATAAGAAAAGTATTTCAACCACACTGTGTTTGTTGTATCCATTGCGAGCAATGCATTTCGTTCATTCCAGAATGGTTCAGGCTGGCTGTGATAGAACAAACACAATAGTAGTCGGCAATGGATACGAGATGAAGAATGTAGTGTTTAAATACATAATAGACCTAATACTTATGTCTAATGAAAAGTAAATGAATTATAATCATGCTTCACCAGTGTAGAACAACGTTGTTAATGATAAAGTTGAACTTACACTATTGAATGCAATCGAAAGGATACATAACTTAGTTTGTAAATAGTTGAGTAATTATTTATATATCTTTCATCATTGACAAACAAAGTTATTATTTTACAGATGCAACTAAATCCTCCAAATGGCTAGATTTCACTATTGCGGCAAAACAAAGAAGCAGAAGCCAATGACCAAGAAAGCCATCTTTTCACAACCCTAAAGATTATTATTGTTAAACCTAGTTTATTAAGATATTAAATACCTTTTATAAAATGCACCACCAAGTAGTGGCTTGGGAATGGTTGAGGCTTAAATTGTTAGTTAGAAGATAACTTGAATGGGAAATGAAGAAAACTTATAACAAGTTTAATACAGTAAAAAATGTACATTTGTTATTATGTTAAAGTTGTTTTCATTTACCATTCAAGTTTGATGCAAAGTGGATTTTAATATACATTAACTCTGGTAAGCAACTATTTTCATAACATTTAAACACATCTACGAGGATCAGTGGTTTAAAAAATGTTTAATTTTATTTATAAATAGTTTAAAGTTTTAAACAGAATGAATAAATAAATTAGAACTTTTAGGATGGAAAAAAAAAGACAAGACTGAAGCACGTAGTTCATGTTGTTACATTTACTGTTGGTTCTTCCCTATCATTGTCCATAGTCTTAAGAACATGCTGAAGAAATCCTTGCAAATCTGCTGAATCCAGATCCAGGTGAAGGAAATCTGAGACAACAGCAGCACAACTAAAAAGAAATTTTACCTTCACTATATCACGTTAGCTTCCATGAGTTCTTGAATACAACCATTCATAAAATTTACACTTGCTTATGCAGTACCAGATAGAAATTTTCTGTTTTTAGATACAACAATTCATGTCAAGAATGGTATTTTTAGCAAGCCATCTACTAAAGTCTTTTTGTTTGCATTTCTATTCCCATCGTCTCCCATGCAGTAAAAAGAGGTGTAGTTATTGATTACGTCCATAAGTGTGTAATAAAGACGTATGGAAGGAGGTCAGGGAAAATCTGATGACTCTTTTTAAGTTAAAGTGCATACCCTCAGGAACTTGTACAAAATATAAGGCAAAAACAAAATAGACATGTCCACTTGAACCAGGTTACTCGGGATACCGTATATATGTGAAATAAGGAAAGCTCAGGTTACTCGGGATACCGTATATATGTGAAATAAGGAAAGCTCAGGTTACTCGGGATACCGTATATATGTGAAATAAGGAAAGCTCAGGTTACTTGGGATACCGTATATATGTGAAATAAGGAAAGCTCAGTTACTCGGGATACCGTATATATGTGAAATAAAGAAAGCTCAGGTTACTCGGGATACCGTATATATGTGAAATAAGGAAAGCTCAGGTTACTCGGGATACCATATATATGTGAAATAAGGAAAGCTCAGGTTACTCGGGATACTGTATATATGTGAAATAAGGAAAACTCAGGTTACTCGGGATACCGTATATATGTGACAGTATCAGCACAAAACTGAAGAAAATAATTAGAACATCAGACTTACCTATTAAAGTAGTATACAAACCAGGAATCGTCCTTAAATCATTAATAACAAGAAAAAAATAGCTGTAAAGCTACTACGTATGGGCTACATGATTAGTGCCATAGTCAATAGAGGAGAAACTTGCTGACCCTTACGTGACATCCAAACCCTCAGTACTAACAATATTACTGCTGAACATTGTGGAAAAGAATACGAGATAGCACAAGCAAATAACATCTTATCTAAATGTCATAGTTTTCTGGACTGACAGATTAAAAAATTTATTTTAATCTAGAAAAAGAAACCTAAAATAACAAATATAAAGGTTGGCTTCTAGTGTAGAGACGTTAAAGGCATTCTTAATATTTTAATATGTTTGAACCTTGCGAAGTCATTATACACTTTCACAGTGGTTAATATATAGATACAAATAGAAATAGATACAAGTTCAAAGATATATTATATATATAATGTATCATATACTAAATCCCATGATTTTAATAGTTTACCCATTAACTTACACATTTATTTACCATTGCTGGTTAAGAGATTTGTTTCAACAATTGAAATTCAAGAATGTTTAATATTAGACATGTATATCAATGTTGGGGGATCAGTGAACTTGTAGGGTATGGATAGCTTCTAACAAAGCCATTATAGTGAACTAATAAGTATACATTCTGGATTTATAAGTCGTTATCTTATTTACCTTAATAGATACGTTTCGTAATAAACTCCAGTTTGTGTTAAAGTTGAGAACATTAACTTACTTTTTTAGTTTAGCATCGGCAGTTTCTTGGTTTACAGGAGGTACGGGCCGGTTCTGTCTAAATAATTCTGAAACCTGAAATTATGTAGAATGGCTGTTACAAAAGATACAAATCACTGATTTATAAGTGAAACAAAGGTTTAAAAATAAATCATGAAATGAACACATTTTAGTACAAAAGACTGACCTGATACGGTTGCTTTTTGCAATTTATTAAAAACAAGAGTTTTTTAAGGTTACTTTGGGAGTTAAAAATTCTGTTTGTTTACAACATGGAAATTAAAAAATATAACAAACAGTAACATACATGCAACTTATGTTCAACAAAGCTTTAGTTGTTAGAATTTATCAAGATATTAGAGAACTTACAGACCTGTTTGCCTCTTTCTATCAGATTAATTGGTATTCCTGCAAGAGAAGCTACGTGATGGGCACAGCTTCCATCAGCTTTTCCATCTTTCAGCTGGTATAAAAACACAAAATTTTCTTGATCTTGTAGCACTTCCATGGTCTTAAGATAAAAAATAAAAGAACTTTGATAAGGAAAGTAGAGAAGTAAACATTTTATACCAATAATTTTTTCGTTTTTGGGAGTGAGTTACTTACAGAAACATGGTTATACAGTTATTAGCTTATAATTTAAATTGATAATTTATTTGTGCTTTTTAAAATAGTATTTTATTTTAGGGACCCAAGTTTTTTCTCACGACTGAGTCTCGATATTGTAAGAAACATATTAAAAGAGAACATCACGAAAAATTAAATATAATTTATATTTAATTCATTTATTATATTTATAATTTAAATTGACAAGGGAACTTCACAAAAAAATTAAATACGTATTATAAATCATGTTCAAAGTTTTGTAAAATGAAAGACATGGATGTAATTCAGAAATTTACGTTTTCAATTCCAATGTACCAACACAGATCTTACTTAACTTATTATAAAATTAAAAGTCATCAAAAGTTTCAACTAATAAAAACATGGAAATTATTTTAATAGTACTATGTGAGTAGAAATAGCAAACAAATTCACATACGTCAGATATTGGATAGAATAATATTTCTATTTATGGCAAATCTACTAGGACTATCCGCTGTCGGTCAGCAGCACTCAACCATCCATTCATGATAAGGGATTGACTGTTAGTCTTATAATGCATCCACAGCTAAAGTGTGACACGCATAGATTCAAACCCAGCTCTTACATAGGGCCAACTAATGGCCTAATTAAGAGAGTAAAAACCTTTGAAGCTCAAAGAAGAAAAACAATTAAGTTTACACTTGCCTGATACTTTAGTAAAGATGTAGGAGGCAGAAGGTTGAAGATGGAGTGAAAGTGAGTAGACACAAACACGTGAGGACAAGCTTGCTCTTTCTTTAACCAGAACTGAAGACTAGAGGTCAACAAAGCTAAACCATCCACCTAGACAAGACATATAATTATCATTATCTATCAAGGTCCTTGTTTTAAGTTAACATTTATTCCTAGTGGTGTATATAACAATACAGCTTTCTGAAGTGTAACTTAGTTACCCCCGTGTCAATGAAAATATGAAGGATCCATCCTGGCCAGAATGTGAATGTACTGAAAAACAGGACCACTGGCAGTTCACTACGTAATGGTTGTGCTGTTATCCTGCAAGTAAATATGGCATCTCATGGAATTATTGTTTATTCAATCCCCCACCCCACCAGTGAATACCTACGGTACTGAACGTGTTTCGAGTCTGATGCTCTATCAAGTCTTAAACATAAAGGAAAAAAATGGATTTCACAACATTACATAAAAAAGTGAGAACCTAGCATAATCTTATGAATTTGAAAGTGGTTAAATAATAGGTTTTAAGTGCATGTCTTAAACAATGGTTCATTATGTAAGTTGTAAACAACTATTTTAAGCTGGCTACCCTGTATTCAGGAAAACTGAGTAATTAACTATGATAAATATGTACAATGTCATTTCTAACAAGCACATCTTAAGAGTTCTAACTGACACCAGGTACTTGAACAAAAATTATCAATAATATCATGCTACTGCCAATATTACAGCTGTTACTATAACTCCTAGATCGACCCATGATTGTGTTCCCTTCAATAGAACATTTACTACTTGCTACTATACATAGTCCAGTACTATCCACTAACCTTGTCCCATGAATGGAACATTTACTACTTGTCACTATACATAGTCCAGTACTATCCACTAACCTTGTCCCATGAATGGAACATTTACTACTTGTCACTATACATAGTCCAGTACTTTCCACTACCCTTGTCTCATGAATAGAACATTTACTACTTGCTACTATACAGTCCAGTACTTTCCACTACCCTTGTCTCATGAATAGAACATTTACTACTTGCTACTATACAGTCCAGTACTTTCCACTACCTTTGTCTCATGAATAGAACATTTACTACTTGCTACCATACATAGTCCAGTACTTTCCACTACCTTTGTCCCATAAATGGAACATTTACTACTTGTCACTATACATAGTCCAGTACTTTCTACTACCCTTGTCTCATGAATAGAACATTTACTACTTGCCACCATACATAGTCAAGTACTTTCCACTACCTTTCACCCATAAATAGAACATTTACTACTTCCCACCATACATAGTCCAGTACTTTCTCCTATGAATGGAACATTTACAACTTGCCACCATACATAGTCCAGTACTTACTGCTTCTGTGCCTTTTCCAAACTCATCAATAACCACTAAAGAGTGGGAAGTTGCTTTTCGTAAAGCTTGGGCCATCTGGAATAAGAGTAATACAGTTAGTGAAGACTGTCAAAAAAATTGTCTGAATTCAACTGTATGTAAAATCTAAGAAAAAGGCATTGTGAAAGAAAGATTACTGAAAGTGTAGGTACACTATGGAAACAGTATAGAAGACATCAGCATGTAAAATAGTTCTGTATTTAGTAACTTGATGAAATCCATTTGAGAAGTATCTTTATAGTTACCAAGAATATGAAATGATTTAATATCATGAAGCTTTTGTCAACTTTTCTATGCAAATATTTACCTTTAAACAACAAAACTGAAGCGACCGTGTACAAAGACCTGAGAAAAAACTAATTCCTATTTATATAACTTTATTTCTACATTTCCATTTCTGAGTTAAGTTAAAGTTTTAACTGTTATTAGCTTATTTGTGTTTGAAATTCCTTGCAAGAAGCATGTAGCAAAAACAACTTAATTATATGACACACCTGATTGAGGTCAATCATGAAAGTGGACAGGCCCAAAGAGACCGATTCCCGAGTGTGGATACGGGACAGGATGTGGTCCATGATGCCTACTCGAGCAGAATCAGCTGGCACAAAGCTTCCTATGTGAGCCATAAATACAATCAGAGCTATCTGCAAGTAAAAATAAAACCACAAGTATATACATACACAATTACAGGGTACAATAGAATATATATAAATACACTGTATACTGTAAGATGTGTAAAAATATACTACTGTTTATATTTTTGACATTGGAGGTTTGTCAATGTAATACAGTACGAGAGACAGGTGTATACGGTAAGATATGTAAAAACATACTACTGTTTATATTTTTGACGTTGAGGTTTGTCAATGTAATACAGTATGAGAGACAGGTGTATACGGTAAGATGTGTAAAAACATACTACTGTTTATATTTTTGACGTTGGAGGTTTGTCAATGTAATACAGTATGAGAGACAGGTGTATACGGTAAGATGTGTAAAAACATACTACTGTTTATATTTTTGACGTTGAGGTTTGTCAATGTAATACAGTATGAGAGACAGGTGTATTTCTACAAAGACAATAGTTTTATCATTGTACAACAGATAAAGCATCAGTTTACAAAATATTATCACATAAGTTGAGTTTCTCTGCAGAGTAATTTAACAACAGAAAAGTATATATTATTATTATATATTTCCTTGAAACAATATTTTGCTTGATTTGTCTAGAAATAATGAAACATTACCTTGAAAAGTCAACAGTTTCATCACGACTGATTGAAAAAAAAAATCTTAAACTTTCTTTTACTTCAATTTACATAAAATCAGAGTTTTAACAATTCATTTTTCTCTGTGTTTAATTTCAACAAGCCTGTTTAAAATATCTATTTGTACAATCTTCAGACAGTGGATTACATCAATAAATAGTACACTAACAGAGGTTATTCACATCATTACCTGTTTCAAGTAGACACTTTTACCACTAGCATTGGGACCAGTCATTATCACCATCTTCCCACTTGATGGTCCAGTATTGGTGTCGTTAGGAACAAAAGTTGTGACACAAAGTTCTTGTAGAGGATGTCTTCAACATGTAATGTACTTCAACTACATAAACTCAACATATGTATCTTAACTACATAAGTTCAACATGTAATGTATTTTAACTACATAAACTCAACATGTAATGTACACCATCCTACCAAAAGTCATGGGACACAAGTAGTTATGAATAAAACATGTCTTTATTCCAAGAAATTATTTGTGTGTTGGCCTGCCTTTGGCCTTAAAGACTGCTTTGATGTGTCGTGGAAGTCTATCTACTAATTTCTGGTAGAAAGCTGGTGATATTGTGGTCTACTCCTCCTTTAACGCGTTAGTAAACTCCACTACTGAAGAGGACCATCTAGGACTTGCCTTAATTCTGCATTCCAGTTCATCCCACAGATGTTCTATCAGGTTGAGGTTTGGGCTCTGTGATGGTCACTGCAGTGTTCCAATGTTATTCTCTTCAAACCACGCATTCACAATCTTTGCTTTGTGACATGGAGCGTTATCATGTCGGAAGGTGTAAGGGCCGGTACCACAATTTAGGACATACAGAATTGTTCAAAATGTAGGACTCAGCATTCATATATCCATGCAATGCGACCAGTGGACCTAGTCCATACCACGAGAGGCACCCCCAGACCATGATCAGTCCACCTCCAAACTTGACTGTTAGGACAACAGTCAGGTAATAAACATTCTCCATACCCAAACACGCCCATCAGACTGGAAGAGCATGTAGCATGGTGGGGGGTCCACATATTGTATTCTACTCGTAGGTAGGGGGTATTTTACAGTGTTTGCTAATGTAAAAACTAATAAAACACAAGACATAAGGATATACAAGGTGTCCATAAATTAAAAAAATTAATAAGTTAAAAAATATTATAGATAGAACATTCCTGTTTTATTTAACTTGACAAACAACTCATAAAGTTTTTCTTGTCTTAATATACTTCCATATGTGCACCGTTTGTTGCTCTTGTTGTCTAGGAGTTCCCAAATAACAGATTCCCAGACAGGTGGATTGGTAGAGATCTACCAACACAATGGCCCACACGTTCTCCTGACATGACCCTGATGGATTTTGTGGGAGGGGGGGGGTGAAAGATCAGGTATATTTCGCCACCTATGCATGACATCGTGGATCTTCAACATGGAATAATCGATGCAATGTCATAAATTATCTTTTCAATTTCACCTCTAGTGAAAAAGAATTCTTCAACACATATATATACAAACCACAGATTTATATTACCTTCCTCCTTTGATGCAGACGATATTTTCATTGGTCAGTTCAGGCTTAGTGTAATTGAACTCTTTGGCCACTACTGCTAGTGAAATGAGTCTATAAGAAGAATACTGTGGTTAGGTTTAAGGTGTTTTGTATATTGAGCATTTTAAAATTTATAATTGTAAATGTAATTTTCAATAATGCCCTACTAAATTATTTACCTAAAGAAGACACACCAAGGTAATGTCAAAACATGCACAATATATACCACCATGCTTACAAAGTATTATTTGTTAACTTACTCTTGGTTTTCATATATTCCACATGAAAACTGACACGATACAAGATGGTTTTTCAAGCTTTTTTTTCATTCAAAGGAACACCATAACATATGACACTAATTCCATTTTCAGGTTATATATATGTAAAACATTGTATCACAAAGGGCATAAAACACATTATGGTCTTATATTCTTAACAAAGATAATCTAGATACCAAATATTTTTAATAACATAATGGAGAAAAAAACCTACACATCCAGCTGGGCAGAGTATGTAACTATGTCTGTAAAAACATTGGAAACTTCTAGAATAATATTTTGTAGCCTGTGCATTATCTGTGTTTCATGGTCTGGAACAGAAAAGAATATTCGTTAGGCACTGAAAGGTTAACAAACAAACCTGCTTAGAAAGTTGTCTGAAAGTACAAGTTATCATACTTGAAGTTTATCTGTCATAATATTTGATGTTTGGCTACAAGTTGAAGGTCTATAAATAATTTTGAGTATTATTGGAAATGTTTCAAGGCACCCAATTGAAGCATAAATTCACTTTTCTGGGATCAACGAATGACATACAGACAAAACAATAGAACTTCTGTATCACTCATAAAATTATTTAAAGGGTTAAAAATCAATCATTTAGAAGAAAGAAAATACTTGTTTTAACATTATACAGAACGTTAGCAGATAAAATTTTAACATTAATAATTTTGTCACATTAAATACTATAAAGTTTATATTTTTAAATCTCAGTTTAGACAAATGTTAACATTTTCAACCTGAATGACAATGTACATGAAACATGGGCTAAATAGCCAAACCACAGACCCCAAGGTTCAGACACAGTCATTACTAATTTAGAACTGTTGACCAGAAAGTGCTGCCGTTCTTAATCACGTAGCAGAATCGATATTCACAGTCGTGACATCTAATGATCACGTTCAGCAGCATATTGACACTCAAACCTTGAACCTTTCAATCTACAGCCTGGCATGCTAACTTCTAGTTTCACATCCAGCCCCAGAAAAATGTTATTAACTACGGGTATGGTACTGCTCCTAAAAATGTTTACCTTTGTTATATTAATGTGTACATTGTTTGGGATATATTTTACATGGGATCCAAAATATTTTCTTCAAATTGTAAAATACTTTTGTAAGTTATATCTGTAATATAACTATTTTAGATGTTTGTTTGCAAAAAAGAGTTTGTCATGATGTGATGATGACAACTCAAAGCTTTGTGAAGTATAGAGTAAACTAGATTGATATAAAAATACCAGGCAGAGTGAGTTCATCAGATCAGTATCAATTATTAAGTTACGAAGTGAGTAGGTCAAGTGTTTGTTATCAATTGATTAGCAAGGAAATTCTGAAAGTAAGTTTATTTTTGAGTTAGGCACATCAAAAGTCTCAAAATTTCTGTTCAAACATTGTTTGTAAAATTAGGCCTACTTGTAAATGTAGCCTATAGCAAACATTAATGAAGAGATAAATTAATTTATCATTACATGGACTGGACTTTGTTTATAAATAAATTGATCAACTTTTCCAAACTATTTGGTTGAGGAAATGGTTGGTATATTTGTGATTAATATAACTGGTGAGAATTAACTATACACTAATTTTATTCAAGCAAAATAAAACCTTCCTTATTGTAGGTTTATAATTATGGGACTCATCTCTTTTTTGCAGCTTACATATTTATTCTCTGTGTCATATTTTCTTGTTACCTAGTATTCATTTTAAAATACAGTCAAACTAGTATCAATGCTTCTCCCAGATATCTAAGTTAAACCGAAAAAGATATTCAAAGCAACCCACCTCTAATCTCACACTGAGTATCCCCTAACAAACTGTCCAGCTCTGTAAAAATCAAATAATGAAATCATGAAAAACACCACAAACACCGGAAACTTTACAGGTAGAAACATGACAATTTTTTGAAACATTTAGAAGATTTAACTATTTATGTAATCCAGAAACAAAATCACTGTTATAACTCTGTTATAAAAATATTTCTAGATTATGATTTTGGTGATGAGCTGATTAAAAGTGACCGAGGAAAATTATTTTTATGCCAGCCCTCCAATGAAACTGGAAGAAGAAGGATTCTTTAAAAACAAAACAAGTGGAATTCTGCACTTAATATTAAACAGTGTATAATATGTATTAGTTCTATTCATATAGTTCACAAATCAATATAAAAATACACCGTGTAAAGGTTTTCCTTTTTTATTTTCTAATTCAATGTTTATTACATTTATCATCTGTATTAATAACGACCACAAAATTACATGAACCGGAACTAATTCAGACACAAAAATTTTAAATGAGTAATGAATTTACACATTTATCACTCATCCTCACTATAAGCTGTTAACAGGAAACTGTATATCCAATTTAAAAAATTTAAAACATCACAATTGCATACCAATAAAAAAAAAAAAGAAAATTACATGGAGAATTTTTTGTTGTTACATACCTCTTGTGCTTGTACTTTTATAATGAGCAACATTGTTGGACATAAACTGGAAAATGAAGCAAAACAAATCATTCACAAAACAAGAAGCCGCAGTACATTTTACATGTCAAACTTTGTGTAATATTTACAAAACAAGAAGCAGCAGTACATTTTACATGTTGAACTTGGTGTAATATTTACAAAAGAAGTGGCAGTACATTTTACATGTTGAACTTGGTGTAATATTTACAAAAGAAGTGGCAGTGAACTTGGTATAATATTTACAAAAGAAGTGGCAGTACATTTTACATGTTGAACTTGGTGTAATATTACGAAAAGAGTGGCAGTGAACTTGGTATAATA